GGTGGCGGCGTAGGGTAGAGGAATGACTACCAGCACTGTCGCCTCCGCCTCTGCCTGCACCCACCTCCGGTAACGTTGCTGGAGACAGAGGCGGAGGTGGTGGCGTTGGGCAAAGGAATGACCACATGCCGCCCACCCCCAACAGCATTGCTAGAGGCGGAGGTTGGGGTGGCAGAGATAGGCGATGGCGACACCGATGAATGGATTGCAAGAGGAAGAAGATGAATAGTATTTTTGCCCTTAACTTATATTGTTTTTAAAAAGTTAACCTGTTTTTGAAATTTATTTAAATATATTACTTTTATTGATATTAAGAGCCAAAAGTTGCCCTTAACTCAATATTTACTTACCCCGCTTTAGAGTTTAAGACACCAAGCTAAGGAAAAGACCAAAAATACAACATTCAATTAATCCAATGAACATAAACCGGATGGGCTTGCCTGTTTTATCTCTCTTAGGTAGTTTACGTGTTTGTGATTGGTTTTCTTACTATTCGGGGAGTAACCCAATTTTTATATTAGCAGCGACAGTTTTTGGAATTTCTTAGGTTTTAAGAAACTCTAATTTATGTGAAAAGAATTAAAGTAGGTGGAAGGTGGTGCAATTTTTACATGGATCGATGTGATATTTGCACTGCCCGTGACTGCAAAAGAGAGAAAAGTTATTTGAACACATGTTGCCAAATCTATGACTATGAGAGTACCACAACCAAAAGTGAAAAGCGGTAGTATATATATACGCATGCATGCCAACTCTAATCCAACCACTAGAGTGATACGTAGACAACGATATGAAGTGGGCAGGCAATCGCCAATCGGGTAACAAATTCTGCTGAGACGTGACAACACATTCAACTACTGGTTCAATGTTTACGCATCACACCATCATAATACAACCAAACCACCCCCACCCCCTCTGGTATGCATGGGCACATGTAAAACCATGATTGATATTCATTTGCGTGCATATATATACATATAGATACACTCATGCACCCGAATGGTTGTTTCTTGTTTGTGTGATGACTCATGAGCGTGTATCATGTATGTACTTGATGTAGTGCGATTTAGCTGTTCTCTGTTGGTGGTGATTTGGTTTCCAGATGGATGATGGATTGAACCTGTAAGGATATCAGAGACTCTGGGGATGCTAATTCGGCAAGATCGCTCCGATGCTTAAGTCAATAGATTAGTAGCGAGCTAAAATTGCTTTTGAAAGTAGAGAGCTTGAGAGCAGAAAAATCACGCATACCTTACACCTCGGGGGGTGGAGCCTTTATATAATGGAGTCCTTGCGGCGTGATCCCGAATTGGTAGGGGGAGATAACGCTAGCTGTTATGCAGCGTGATCCTGTGAAGTCCGAGAACCGTCGGAGGGATTTTCGAGATCCTCACAGTGGCACGTCGGTATCCCCGAGTTGACGCCTTTAAGTCCCGAACTGGTCTAAGTGTCGAAGTGCCTTGGCATTGAGGTGTTCCTGTTGCGATCTGATACCGAGGCGATCTCATTTCGATGTGACCTTGTCTCGAGGTCGCTTTAGCTCGGGGTAGAAGAGTATCCAAGATTGTTCTATTGCGGGCTGGTCAAGCTGAGTTGTCATCTTTTGATCAAGTCGCATCCACGTGTCTCCCTGTTACGAGGTCGAACCAAATCACCCTTCATCAGTACTCATCATGTCAAACGCGATATGATGTTTGCAAGCAAAGTCACTGTGTTGTGGTCCTACAGCTGATCAGAAGATTAATTAAAGGGACGGAATCCGGTGGAGACGATGGTGGTCGCTGGCCGGCGTATAATATTGGGGGACTGAAACCTATTTATTTTCAAGACTGATTGATTATTAGGTTAAGGCCTCATGGGTCTGGGACTCTGCAGGGATTATCCTCATGTCTCATGGGGGCGTGTGATGGAGTGGGGACTTGATTACTTCAAATTTATTAATTATGCTAACCAGTGGAGGTGTCTCCTTGGGCTACACATGGTTCCTGGTTGGTTGGTTTACATTAATTGAAACTTTAGAAGCCGGCTCTTTCATCTTTCTCTGCAACTCCGCGTGCATCACCAATCAGCATCTGTGCATGTGTTTTCACAATTTCACTACTCATACGTATTCTTCAATTTAATTCTTAATTGGATATATAATCAAGAGGGGGTTCTACAATGTAAGGGGACCCGGGACAAAGGATGACATGTAGAAGAGAAGACGTGGGCTAACAGTTTATATATATAAGGTTTGTTTGGCAAGTTTTTTTGAGAAGATCATCTTCTGATAATTCTGATAGTTAAAAGATGAAGCTTCCCGAAATCATCTCAAAATAAAATTTTCATGCCTTTTCAATGTACCAACTTTTGACGACAAAATCAAATACAAACCAAATAAAAAAAAAAAAAGACCACGATATGGTTTCCCCGATTTATAAGCAGCCAAAAGACACCCAAATAAGGCCATAGTCTCTGTTCTGTGTAGGGCTGCAAGAGAGACGAAGGCAGAACAACCAGACGAGACGAGGATTTTGTTTTAGACAGATTTGCTTCTACTTTACCTTTTAATACATTTCGTCTTTTTCTATAACGTCCAGCCCCTTATCCCCATGTTTCAGCAGTATATAACCGCTTTTTTATGACACATACATATATAAATTGCAGTACGTACTACACAAACCTGTTACCTGTTACGTCCCCCCTCCCTTCAAAGTTCAAACACTTTAAAAAAAGAAACAAACAGATTCTCAGATTCACCAACACCAATATGCATTGCATGCGCTGCACTGGTTCAACGCCACCAGACTTTTCATCTTTTCTTTTCTTTCTCATTGATTTTTCCACTTTCTTCTTTCAGTTTAAACAGCATATTTCTTTCTTTCTCACAACTCACTAGATGTACACGCCCTCGTTATCTATGAATTGTTACTGTGCAAATGCTTTTCATTTTTAACCACGAATAGATGCAACTTTTTTCTAATTAACCCTCCAACAATTTAATTTATATTAATTTATTGAATCACTGTATTTATTTTTTTCTTTATTTATTCCCTTCTAATTAATCTCTTGTTTTCTTTATTCCGGGGTATTTACGTTCTTGTTATGTTAGCGTCGTATTTTGGGCACCTTTTTCCTTTGTTTGATGTAAAACTAAACTAAACAGGCATGATAAAATTGAGGTTGGGTGTGGGGATCACTGGGGAAGGAGGGCGGTTTCAGGTTCAGTTCCAAACTTTCAATTAAAGCACTCACGGCCTCACGGAAACTGCCGAACTGGAGGATATATATATATATATATATATATATATAATACTGCCTCGTCAGACCAATAAATGTTTAGGGAGCTTACATGGCCTATGGTTATTGGCCACCAAATACAAGTAGGATTCTAGACCTTTGAATCGTCAGAAAATAAAGGTCATATAGAAGCAGGGTAACACTAAAAATACAAACAGGCTTTTTCTTAAAAAAGTATATTCATGGGGTTGCTGTATAACATGAATTGCTTTTTTTTTTTCTTTTTTCTTTTGGATCTTATTTCAAGAAAATTGGACCCCCAAATGGTTTGAACAGATATTATGTTCATATGACAAAAACACAAAAGACACTTTTTTTTTTATTGTATTATGATTTTCTTTTCGCCAAAACTGATTTTCAAATTAAGATATTATCTTGATTAGTGTGATGTTATATTTAATAAAACAGAATACTTAGATAGATGTCCTGATAAAAAAATAGATATTGATTCGCCTTTCTTTTATTTATATTTTGAAACCTGATTTAAAGCCGCACTTATAAAAGGATTTATTACCAACAGATTTTAGTACTGAGTGTGTGTGTGGCACGCTCAATAATAAATAATTTCAGCTTTTTTGAGAATGAAATTTGATTTTATTTTGGAAGCAAAGCTTTTTACTTCAGAAAGAGGAATGCTTTTCTTATTGCTTGAGGATGTGATTGTTATTCCTCCCTTTCCCTCGTTCCCTTTGATGTAACCAAAAAAAAAATTATAAAAAGAAAATGTTTGGCACTTTATGTTGAAAAAACACATATCCATGAAGGTATTTTACCTTATTTTAGACAATGTTATATGTTCAAAAATTGACATTTATATAGGAGACATTCCCAGAGGGTTGGGGTTGGACTGTGCCTAGACAGGTTAGCTTGGTGGATCAACCTAGGCCCAACAAAAAAGGCTCAAGCTTGACCCAATCCAAATCATGGCCTAGTCTTCTAACCCAGGCCCAACCTGAGCTTCAACCAGCAAAATTTGGGCTGGTCTTGGGTTCAGGTTGGTTGCTCGGGTTTGATACAAATAAAATATATAATATTGTGTGTATTTGCATGTGCCTGTGCATGGGTGTGAATTTAGTCTAATCAAGTTCATATTAGGCTGGAGCCCAAAAGTTCAAAAGCCTAACCTGTGCTACAGCTTGCCCTTGGAATATGGGTTGGACTCGGGTTGGCCCCTGTTAAGTTGATTTAACAAATAACAACCCCAGCTAGCTGAAACATGGGCTGAGCTAAAATTCATCCTGCATAAATTAAGAATTTTATTATTTGCCAACTCCTTTTAACCTTCATACAATATTAATTAGGGGGTGTTCTTGAACATGAATTTTTTTCCATCTCCTGTTTCCAAAAAGTACAACATCAGCAACAAACAGAGACCACGTTCTCTCACATGTGTAACATGTCTCCCGGCATATGTTAAGTCAGAGGCAATTAAATGATTGTAAATCTGTAATGACTCCTTCGGCCACCTCTAAATGCCATGGCTCAACCGAGTCTTCTAATATTTATTATAACCAAGAAAAATAAACAGTAGAAAATGTCAAAGGTTAGGTCTACATCCAGCCCAATTGCCCACCCATTGTTAAAGGTTGGGACAATGGCCTTTTTTTTCTAATTAATATGCAAGAAAAACAAAACAAAAAAAAAATAAAGAGCTTCCTTGCTTAACATTCGGCTGAAGGCATTCATCCCAATTGATATTAATACAGAATCTGTGTTTCCCATCTTGAATTTCAGCACAAATATGACTTTTACCTAAAACCTCAGACTCATTTCTATTTCTGAAGCATTCAGGTAAGGAATGCTTGATTGACTTTATACTTGATAAACTGAGACATTAAATTTGGTGGGGTTCACTCATTTTAATATTTATATTTATATGGATTACTCTACACGATTACTGGCCTGGTCACCCGACTTTTGCATTGGGGAAGCAGGGGAGGAAGAAAAAGGCTCACTTTCCCAAATGCAGAAAAACCAAATGGTGGAAGCGTTAGGAATCTGAAGCTGAGATAGGTTGTAAATGGGAAGTGGTGAGAAGCACCGCTCCAATTCCAGATCCACCAAGAGACTCCTCAATTATGACATTGTCTGAAAACTCCTTCCCAAGCATCTCCCAAATACTGCTGTGCAAATAGTTTCTGAATAGTCTATAGTGCTCGTATAGACCACCCTCTACTATTACAACACTTCTCTTTGTCTCTGTTCTTCCCAGTTTCTTCAGAATACCTACTATGCCAGCTCCAGCCAGTCGGGCCCCACGCTCTGTAACAATGTCGCACACCTCGGCAACCACTTCTCTTACCATCCTTGTAGAATCTGCGATCTGGGGTGTGGAAGCAATACAAAGAGAAAGAGTTGAGTGGGTAATTTTCACATGCAGATAGAATACTTTGAGACAGTTAAAGTGGTATTGAATAAACTTCAATTGAAAAATACCCCAAAGATGTCCTTCAACTTCTCTCCGATCACTTCACGATCCTCTGACGTGTCTTGATGCATGAGCGCCATATCAGGAGACCTGTCAATGCCAGCTCTGTTAATTAGTATTCCATTATTTTGTCTTCTCGCATCGCAAGCAGCAGGAGCCAGGTGGTACTGCCAAAGTGCCAATCTTTAATAATAGCTATACTTGTAAGATCAGACGACTCCTTAAATTTGTCATAGGAGCCCCCCCATACATAATGATGTAACTAATAACTAAGGGGTGCAGCTAGACCAAGAAAACAATTGCAGAATACCTTAACACATATGGAATTCTAAGCTTAGGAGGGACTGTATCTCCAAATAAAGCTGTTTCCTCCGCCATTTTCAATAGAACCCTTCTCACAATATCTCCCAGATACATCCCTGAGATGAGTTTTTCAAATATCTGAGGAAAACAAAAAACAAAAACAAAAAAAAAAAGAAAGAAAAACAGAGAGAATTAAAGAAATGAAGGATGTAGCACCATTATAAGTTCCATATGTTATTAATGGGTGACCATGCAGAAATACATAATAGATTTGCAATACCCTTTCACCAGGATTCAAGCTTTCAGCATCTAAGCAGGCATCATAGCTTGTTATTGCAAGATGAGAACAACTAAAATTCCCCCAATCCATGTTAATAACCTGCAACAGAGCACACATATCGACTGTTCCTTTAAAGCCGCATCCATGGAATAGATGGGATTTTAGTATTGGATAATATGAGCAACTAACCATCTCTTCCGTATTGGGTAGACGGCCACTCCACTTAGGAACCGCTTCTGCACGCTCCACATAAGCCGCGTTTGTCCCCATTCCCAGGGTAACTGCAGCAACAACATCTCTACTGTTGAATCTCCCTCCAGCTAACTCTCCAACAGTATCATCAACCTGGTTAAGGAGGCAGCTGACTCAACTTTTGGGAACATTTTCAGGAAAGTAAAAGAAAGAATGGCAGGAATTAAGTGCTCCTGAAAAGAAATGTAGATATCTTACCAGTGTAGAAACCAGCATGTCCAAGCCATGTTTCTGCAGGGCACGGTTTAACTCATTCACCATGGTTTTCCCCACCTGAGTTGATCTAAATTTGTCAAAATCAACATATTAAGATGAACATCTCACATCAAGTAATATAATGGATGCTTACAAGATGTACCAGGTGATTACTTACGTCCACTATAGAAAATTTATATACTTTCATATGCAAGTATGCAACAGAGATAATTAGAAAATACGAATTTTGAATACATAAATTAAAGAAAATCCAAAAGCTAATGGAGTTTCAAAAGCATTATTCTACTAGCTTCTTCTTCATGCTTTTCAGAGCATATATATATACATATATATTCTAATTCATACAAAAGCTATAGCATATTCTAATTCATCTCCAAAAACCCCCAAAATATTCATCATGAAGACAAACCCAACTGGATCATCAACTGAGAATCGCTTCCACTTTATCGCAGTGCCAGTCCAGACTGCAGATTGGTCTACTGGAACTGAAAATGTAATACCAAGTTGCTTTTGTCCTTCTGATCTAACACTATTTACTGCAAAATATATAACTAGCTCCTTAGCGACGTAATCGAATAATTCCTGAAAAAACAAAACGAGGAATTCAATAGTACACAAGCTTCCAAGAGCAAGAGAAGTGATTAGCATGGTGGATGAGAAGAAGGCCAAACACACCTCTGAGGTTCCGTCCATCAAATTGGCTGGTATGGGCACCTCTTCACGGTGTTTTTTTATTACACCACCATTCTTTCCCCCCAATTGGGCATGCAATATCAAGAAGTTTGTTCCACGAAGACTCAAACCATAATATGATCCCTCCTCATCACTGCAACCAGAGATATTAATATTTTTTATGTAAAATGAGATAATGAAGTATTTATTTATTTAAACAATGACGCATACAAACGGCATAAAATGGGACAGAATCGAAATGAGGCTGGTGCCAGTGCCACCGGGTGGACTTTCGTGCTCGGGTCGGATTCAGAAAATGAGTTGGATTTTTTTTTTTTTTTTGTTTGGAGGAAGAAAAATCTCCCTGTAATTTAGCACAGGAAACTCTAGATGAACTGTTGGGAGAAGAAAGAAAAACAAAGAGTTGATTTGCATCGCATTGCATCTCGTTGTTAACTTGAATCTTACGGGGAAATTCGGGTTGATTTCGGGCATCGGAGTGTGAGTGTCCCAAAACGACCCGATTAGTAACCCGTTCCCATGTCAAGATGCCGTACTGTGAGTGGCTCAAGACTTTTTTTTTAATAAAATAAAATAAAGGTCTATAATTTTCTTAATATATAGCTGCTACGGCAGTGGACAAATACATTACTGAAATTTCATAGGCTGAGTTTGGAAGGAGTACAAATGCAAATATGCAGTACCTTGTATTTACGCAATACATATTTGTATTTATACTCTTTCCAAACTGAGTTTTTATGGAATTGAAGAGGGGAGAGAAGAGGGAGAAAGAGGCTGACCCGGTGGGAAGCGATCCAGTGTAGGCGATGACCATGTTGAGCTTACTTCTGTCATCAGATTCGAGGCCGGCTTTCATATCAACGACCAAGGCATCCGCCACCTGCCAAAGCTTCGTCACCGGAGTTGCACTCTCCCTTGCAAATTTAGTCAGCATTCGTTGTGTGCGCTTCCACCGTCTTTCGTGCCGTCTCTTCCAACGCCCCGCTACCGCTAACAGTACGGTAGCCGTCGCCACCGTTGTCACCATAGTCACCACCACCACCACTTCCTTCTTCATCATTCTCTCTCTCTGTGAAAATCAAAAACCCATCTAACGTAAGATTAAGAAATGAAGAAGATTAAAGATTAAACTTTCGGTTTCTGTCTTCATTTCGTTTTCTTGCATCGTGGGGAGGATGATGAGAAACAACAGCCGATAATCCTGCGATTGAAGGAAGAACGGGTTTTTCTGCTGCCATTACCAATTCCAGCGTAACGCTATCATTCGTTCTGTTACTTACATGGGCCACCCAGGTTAAGCCCAACTCAAATCCATTGCGTCCTTAACCATGGACAAATTATAGCCCAAAGCCAACTAGCTCCACCAGTTGTGCATGTGCTAGGATAGAAGAGTCAGCATCCTAAATCCCTAATGTGGGCTCGATTTAAAGTTGAACCAAGGCCAAATGAGGGTTCAAATCCTAACCTTCTATTAATTGATCTCTTAAACCATATGCCATTCTGAGGAGAAAAAAGGAGTTAATTGAAGTCTGAAGAGAAAATGGGAACTGAGAAATGAACTAGAAAAACAAGACGAGAATATACACATAAAAGGCATTAGTTGGAACACAACGACCATTTTTTCTTCTAAGCATCTTTAAGAATTTTTTTTTACTGGTCTTACTACAGAAATTTTGATTTCTTATGGACTCTATAGAGTGCACCCCACACGTACCCCAATTCCCAATGCACTCTGAGATGTGCATATCGGGCGCTTCTTTGTAGAGCGCCAATCTGAACTCAGAAATTTTATGAATCAAGGTTCTAGGGAGATACAATTAGGGTGGATTTTATCATAGGGGTTTTATGTTTCAGTCCAGCCTAAGGGTGGAGCTAGAATTTCTAGAGGGTGGATTGAATCTTTTCCCGTGAATGGATATAAGATTTATGGGCAGGATGCGGTTTATAGGGGGACTACTAGTAGAATAGGAGAGGGCTGTAAATCAGATTTTTGAAAGGGATTGCAGTCCAAAAATCCCTTTATTATGACTAATTTATAAAGCTTGCCTATTTAATCATACTACTACTAGCGATTCTGTTGTAGTCTACGAGTAGTGGGTACAGGGCAACCTGTAAAGGTGCAGAATGTAAAACGAGCTGTGTTGTGCTGGCCCGTGGGTCATTCTGGGTCATGTCGCCCTCCTCAAGGATAATTTGGGAGATCGGCCTAGCATGACCCATGACCCAAGCCCATGCAACTCCATGCCAAGTTATGGGCTTGAGCCGGCTAGGCTGTAGGCTGTGTCGTGGGTTTGGGTTGTGCTGGACTAAGTCATAGGCAGGGCCTTGGGCATGGGCCGAACCGGCCAAATTGGTTTTTTTTTTACATTTTTTATTTTTTTTATTTCTTTACTTAGTAAAACTAAAATATTTAACTTTTCTTTGGGAAATATTTGAAAAAATAAGAACTATTTGAAAAACCCTTGCTACAGTAGTTAAAGTCTTTTCTATATTTTTGGCAAATAACTCTTTTTCCCTTCCCCTGAACCTCAATTACTTTAAATATTTTCTAAATCGATCTAATCAACTTAGTGACATTCTTTTTCTTTCCCTTAGTATCAATACTAGGGGTGGAAGTTCCGTCAATATCAGTAGTATCCATATTGGTGCTAATACTATCATGCTACGACTGAATATCATTGACATTTGGCATATTGGGGAATTGGTTTCGGGAGAAACCGACCATTTTTTTAAATTCTAAAAAATAAAAATTAATTTAATTGTAGTTATCCGGATTGTTGGTTCGGAATACTAACTTGATTTCAACGGTTGAAGTCTTTCAAATCCAAGAGTCTAAGCCTCCCAAATTACTAACTTGAGATACTTGAATTGTTGAATAAGCATTTTTCTTGTTGAAACTTCAATAAAGTTAAGAGTTGGAGAATTAGAGAATGTATGAGAGATTGATAGATTAAGACTTGAGAGAGTATGAGAACTAGAGAAGAAATTAAGAGAATTGTTGAATTAGTGTGATGAGAATAGTGGAGCATTGGGCTATTTATAGAATTGAAAATAATTCAATTGCCCAAATACTCTAAAAACTAGTTGTTTTTTAATTGTTGGGAGGGGTATTTTGGTCATTGTAAACTTATTTATCATTTTATCCAAAATACCCCCTAAACTAGCTATTGTACAACAGTTGGGGAGCATTTGTGTTATTCTTTCTCCCCCCAAAACTAAAATACAGAAATACCCCCTATATATTTGTTTATAATTGTTGGGTTGGTATTTTTGTAAAAAAAAAAAAAACCCAAAAAGCTAGAACTAGCCATTGGGGACGGCTAGTTCATCGAGCGGGCCAAGCGCGGCCCTCTACGAGCCCGTGGGCTGTACCGTGCCAGCCTGTGATGGGCCGTATCGACACATGGGACTTAGGTGGCACAATCATGTCATGTTGTGCCGGCACGTGGACTTGAAACCCCAGGCCCAGCACAGCCCGGACCATCATGTCGGGGTTAGCACGACCCGCATGCCATTGTGTCGTGCCATGTACGACCGGTCCAAATTCGGGCCTCATCGTTCCTAGCTGTGGGTGGCGCGGCCTGATTTACATCTCTAGGCAACCAGAATTGACCCTCTTGTTTGGGATTCACTATCCGAGGTAAAGCACTGTAGCTTAATGTTGCGTTTGATTGGAATATAAATTAAATTTGCACTGATTTAAATGCATAGCAGTGCAAAAGGGGTGAATATAGGATTCTGACTTATTTTTACTTTTGCTTTATTTGTGAGCAATGAAATGATGTGACGTTTACTTTAAATGAAAGTGAATAGAGGTAGGAAGAGATGTAAGATGATGTGATTCTCATTTATATGAGAAAGATTTCAGATAGGAAGAAGGTGATGCAAAATTTGCGTTTTTTTTTTTTAATTTTGTGTCAGTTTTTAGGATACAAAATTTTCACTTATAGTGAGTGCAATATAGATGAAAAAATATAAATTTCTATCAGGAAAGTCATAATTATAATCAAACAAAAGCTAAACTGAATTTGCTACAAATTATGAATTTGGTCAAGATTTACACTGCAATCAAACATAAACAAAAGCTAGCCTGAGTTTTTTATTTGGTGTTTTTTGGTAAACCAAGTTTTTTATTTGGTTTAAGACATTAAATTAGGTTCGATTTATAATTAAATAAAACTATTTATTTTAAATAATGGGGTCAACATGAACTAAATTTTTGAAAGACTGCTAAATTTTTTTTTTCTCTAAACCAAAAATCCGATTTGATCAATAATATGTAAAGAATATGACATAATTTTATGTAAGAGGTAAAATAAGGCCCGTACCATTCTTGTTTAAGTAACCGGACCACATGTTTAAAGGAGAAGTCTTCCTGTCTAAGGGGCTGCAAGCCTGCAACTATTTTGGGTTGGGCTCAGTCTTGGGATTGAGCGATTGATCCCACCCCTAAGCCGCCCAATTTTCACTCCTAACGCTGCATTTGGTTGTTGTGCAATTTTATTTGTATTAATATAAATGTATGGGAGTGCAAATGAAAAAAATGCAAATTTTTGTTTAATTTTATTTTGGATTTTATTTTATTTAGTTTCATGTCTTAATTTACATTATTTATACTGCAATCAAACAATTTTACACTGTAATGGGTGATTAAAAGTCTGTTTAGTAAGAAGGTAAATTTGTCAATGCAAAACTAATCCAATTTTGCAATTTATTTGAACCATTTTACATTATATATTTACATTCACACTTATTTGCATCGTTTCCAAACACAGCCATTATAACAAGGAAAAATGTTTCACACCGATTAAAACAGAACAAACTACATAAATCATTTTATATTAGGCTATGTTTGGAATCAGTGTAAAACGTCATCGGTGTAAAAGTATATTGATGACATTTTACACTAAATAGTGACTCAGTGACTGTTGCACTTTTGAAAAGCGTGATGTGATTGGTGTAAAGTCTTGATGTAATATTTACATCGAAAATCGATGTAAAAATTTACGTTTGATGAGGTTTTACACTTGTACACAAACATAAAACTCCATTCCATCCAAATGTACATAAAATTGAACCGGAGTGAAAGTTTACGTTGATCAATGACTATACATTCTTCCAAACGCTGACAAAATCGAATTGACATAAACTTTTACATCAATTCTTAATTTACACCAATTCCAAACACAACCTTAAGAATTTAAGACCACTAGTTTTCTCGGGCCTCATCGCATTCATGTCATCTCGGCCCACATAACTAACACCAATCCTTTATTATGTTTGTTGGTTTGTAATAGGTGGTCATAACTAAAGCCTAACAAGGCCCATTGACCACCAATGCATTGCATAAGTTACAAGCAAATGCAGCGGAAGAGGAGAATTATGAGAGCCCGGGATCTCAAAAAATCTAACACAAAATCGAGCTGTTTGTTGGGAATATCTTCAGCACATGTATCCTAAATTTATTAAAGATGTTTCTAATGTAATGTACAGTTTGCCCATGTTTGCAGAAGGGTTTATGCTTTCTAAGAGATCCCCTTATGAGTTATGCAAGAAGAAAATTGGTTTGATAATAGTGAGTTTTAAGGAATTTTCTATGGGTATAAACGCAAAAACGTTGAATCACATCAACTTGCTGTTGCCGCCACCGTTATAGTCAGACTGTTTGAACTGTTCAATCCGGATGGTTGAACCTCTGACCTGGAAACCAGTGGTCAGAACGATTCTATTTTTGAATCAGTTTTTAAAGCCTTGCTCACTACTTTCTTTGGATCACAACAACAAACTTGTTATTCAATAATCACAAATAAATCGCAAAAAAAATGTTAAAATATGATTAAGAACCAAATGCTAAATAGTTTCTTTTTAGACTTTGATTGAATGCTAAGAGAGGTACAAAAGGTTCAGAACGTTTTTCGTTCATGGATTTTCTTGTATATGTGTATGCTTTTATTAGTCCTAATCCTAATAATCAAATCTAAAATCAACCATTATAACGATACTTGATTTGATTGTGTATGTTCCGACTGCCTCTTCTCTTTTGTCCACAAGATTTTCCTT